GCCCACACTCGGAATCCTCCCACCCACCTCCTCGGCGCTTGCGTGAGCCCGCCCCCACGGCTCCCCGACCGACACCATGGAAACGCAGCCAACTTTAGAACCACTAGTTCCCGGCCTTGCCGGATGGTGGTCTTTAAACCATTGCCGCAAGTCCCTGGGGTCAAGGTCCTTCATCCCGTCATGTGGTTCATAGGGATGAAGAGCCGAAAACTGGAATAACGGAAGGACTTGCAACAGAGACTCTTTCCAAACAAGAGGGAAGCAGCATGGAAAGCTGCATGCGGGTCCGCGTCCAGCCTGAAAACCAATAGAGAAGCATTTAACACTCCACCTAGGGATGGGAGATCCCTAGTGGGAATAGAACCCTGAACCTGTAAAACTCTTCTTCCAGCTCCTTTGCAGGCTCAGGCAGTAAGGAAAGCATGGCTCACTGCTAAAGGGAAAAGCAAATCTCAACAACAGGGAGATAGATTTTCTCCCATTTGTTAACCCTTGAAAGGACATTCATTACCCCCTCCCAACCTAGTGCAGTTGTTTTATGTACCTCAATATTTTGCTTGTTCACCTTGTTAACAGCCAACAATGAGAACCACAGGCCACATACATAGGAAGCAGCTTTTATTGACGGTTGTTTCCAGAAACCAAAAAAAAAAAAAAGCTATGAGCTGTCAGTTAACGCCCTGTGCCTCCGGATGCCTCCAGGGTTCCACTTGGAGAAGGGATACAAATGGCCTATTTCAAGGCCCAAGTCTTTCACCTCCCTGCACAGCTTAACTTAGAAACTTTGTGACCGTATTCTATTGCTGGGTTTTTGAATTTTTTTTTCCCCTCCAGCTATAGCTACTTTGTAACAAACAGAGGTGACTCTGAAAGACTCTTGAGTAAGAAGAACGATTCGCAAGAAAACAGGAATACAGCCTATCAAAAGGCCCTCTGTCCTGCCTCGGTGGCTTGATCCTTCATTGGTTGCATTTTTCTTTGTGCTGGATCACACCCTTCTGAATCAGATCAGGGATTTCCACTGCCAGCCAAGGACCCAGCTGCAATACAAGGGAGACCCTGTGAGGATACTATCGTAGTCAATTCCTCTTGTTCCACCTGAACCTCCTTCCCAGAGACTCCGGGAGAACAGCCTAGAGGAACAACACTGCTCCGCCCTTAGTCTCAGCCTGGCTTCCGGTACTGGTACTGCTTAGGTCGTGAGCCCTCCCTCTTCCTCTCATATACCAAGAGTAGCAAACTTACCCCTAGGGCCATAAGATGAGCTAGTCCAAACTTGGGCACATTCCTGGCCCACAAAGGTTTGAAATGATCAGTCAGACATATTTTGCCACCCCTGTGAGAAGGACAAGAGGAAGGCGTTGACACACAAAACTAGCCATAATGTATAGCAGCAGCCTCTTGGGAACCCAGGAAAATTAGTGCTCACAACTGAGAACAAGGCCAGCTAAGCACTTTGCATAGGCTTGACATAGGGAAAGCTAGATTCCCTCTAGACTCGGGAGCAGCACCCTCTGGGGAGACCTTCTGTCTCTTGAGCTCCTCCCTAAGGCTTTCTTTGCTCTTTCTCATCTCCTAGTCAATCCTACCTGTACATCTTTGCTGTCTTTCCGTCCAGCTCAGGGACTGCAATTTCTGGAGCAGTAGTAGGATATGTGATAGGAATCTGGAGAAATTACAAAGCCTTAATAAAACAGAGAACTGAGAGAGAAATGAACTAGTCTAATTAAACATATATATTTCCTGGTTGATCTGCTTGTTCAGCAGAGCCCCCAAGCGCCATGTACAGCTCGGATTCTAGACACAGAGATTAGTGACTGTTAGAGATCAGCCTCAAACCTCAGCTTTCCCCTCCCATTTTAAAAGTTTTGTTTAGACCCTTCAAGGAAGTTTAGCTTGTTAACAATGATCTAATCAGTGCCTTTCTACTAACCTGCATACATCCCATTACATGACACTCACTTCAAACTCGATGTCAAACTCATATTTGAGGAGGTCATGGATGTACCAGCATTTTCCAAACCACCTGAAACAAAGACCAAGCCACAGTCCAGTCAGACCATTCCTATCATACTCAAATGGCATCTCTGTTTAGGCCACCAAGCTGAAGACTCACAGGTTAGGAATTAGGGCACTCTAAACTGATGCATGGTGGCTTTTGGTTCATTATGGGATACCAAATTGTTCAGATAGGATCCTACTCACACCTCTCAAGAGGGCCTGCTTACCGGGTTCCCTCCTTATTGGACTCCAGTCGGAACCAATCATTGTCTGAATTCTTGTTGTTCTCCACATACTGAAAGGAGAAAATGAAGTCTTAGAAAAGGGAGCTGGAGCCAGATGTGGTGGCGCACACCTTTGATGCCCGCACTTAGGAGGCTCAGACAGGATGAACTCTGAGTTCGAGGTCAGTCTGGACAGAGCAAGTTCCAGGACAGCTAGAGCTACACAGAGAAACCCTGTCCAAAAAAAAAGAAGAAAAAGAAAAGGGAGCTGGAGGCAAGGGTAGACCCTCTTCAAAAGTGTGATTGTTTTCCTTTTTAGTCTGTTTTGCACAACTTTTCAGACATAAGCAAAATGAAAGAAAAGGCAACACAAGCAAGCTGGGTGCTTGCCCAGAGCAGACAACAGAATATCTAGGTTCCCTACAGTATAGCAACCACAAAATATTTGGACACTCATAGGGTTATTTTCTCACTCCTGATAGCATCTGTCCTTAGCCTAAAACTCACCTTACCAGATATACTAGGACCCTGTGCTAGCTTTCATTAGCAGCTACAAGTTAGTAACTCTCAAATCTTTATCTTTTTTTTTTAAAGATTTTATTTATTTGTTATATATACAACATTCTGCTTCCATGTATATCTGCACACCAGAAGAGGGTACCAGATCTCATAACGGATGGTTGTGAGCCACCATGTGGTTGCTGGGAATTGAACTCAGGACCTCTGGAAGAGCAGCCAGTGCTCTTAACCTCTGAGCCATCTCTCCAGCCCCAAATCTTTATCTTTAGTTCAAGTCTTTTGTCAGAATTTCAAATTCTAGTATCCAACTGCATGTTTCACTTTGTACCTTTTTTTTTTTTTGCTTTTCAAGACTGGGTTTCTCTGTGTAGTGCTGGCTGTCTTGGAACTTGCTCTGTACACCAAGCTGGCCTTGAACTCACAGAGATCCACCTGCTTCTGCCTCCCCAGTGCTGGGACTAAAGACTTGCACCACCACCACCATAGGGGTTCAGTTTATACCTTTATCTAACAGAAAACAGAGACTTAGAACATCCATCTGGGTTTTGTACCACATCCCTCCCCTCTTCCTCTTCAGGGCTCCTGTCCCTGTCCAAGCCAGCCACAACCTACCTTAGAGAACTAAAATGACCTTGAACTTTTGATCTTCCTGTCTCTCCTGAGTGCTGGGATAACAGGTGTGAACCACCAACACATTCTCAATTTCAGGTGGCAGTCTCACTCAGTCACTAAGTCAAAGACCAGCCTTCACCTTTGACCTTCCCTTTCCTTTTCCCTACTACTATTTCATGATGTCCTGCTGCCCTTAGTGTTGGCTGTTTGTCTGTTACACGGTCTCTCTGTAGCCAGGGCTGGTACTATACTCACTGAAACCCTCCTGCCTTTGCCTTCCCGGTACTAGGTTCATAGGTATGTACCATGACACCCAGCCTTAGCTCCGGCCTAATTCTTACTTTTTTGGTCTTTCTTGATAGGGTCTCACTAAATTGCTCAGGCTGGCCTTGAACTACCAGGAAGGCATTAAAACTGTCCAAGACGGGTCTCAAACCTGCAGTCTTTCTGCCTTGGCATCCCAACTGCTGCAATTACAGGCTCCCAGCTTATACCATGCTGTTTCTAGTTTGCACTCCTTTGCTCATGCAGTCCTTGTTTTTTTATGAAAAAAAAAAAACTTTAAAAAATATTTGTGTGTGTGAGTGGCTTTATGTAGAAATGTACACTTGGTGCCTGAGGAGACTAAAAGAGCACACCAGATCCCCTGAAACTGGAATTATGAATGATTGTGAGCATTTAAATGCTGGGAACCAAACTAGCTAGGTTCTCTGCAAGGGCAGTAAGTGGGCCATTTCTCCAGCTCCTGTCCTTATGTCTTAAACATCTTTTTTCCTACCCTTATGTTTCATATGCTACTATTGTGTGTGTGTGTGTGTGTGTGTGTGTGTGTGTGTGTGTGTGTATACATGCCAAGGTGTGCATGTGGTAATAACAGGACACCTGAAGCAGTCAGTTCTCTCCTTCTACTATGTGGACTCCAGGGATTGAATGAAGGTTGTCAGGCTTGGTAGCAGGTACTTTACAGACTGTGCCATCTCTCTCTGGCCCGTGTGTTTATACTTTAAGTTTCAACTCAAGTTTTACCACGTCTAAGAAGCCTTACCCTAGCAAACTAAAGTTGAATTGCACATCTCTCTCCATACTCTGAAAATATCCTAGTTATGTCTGTCTCTCCACTTAAACACAGTATAATACTGCTTCCATCAACCTCAGTGGGTCCCTTTTTTTCGGCTTTGTATACCATACCCTTCTAGGTAGTAGGAACACTATCATATGCTTTATTATTGTGTTTGAGGCAGGGTCTCAAGTAGTTCAGACATTCTTTGAATTCATTATGTAGTCCAGAATGACCTGGACTTCCAATCCTCCTGCCTCCACGTCCTGAGTGCTGACAATGCATTAGCCACATAGTTTATGAGGGGCTAGGGATAGAACCCAGAACTTCTTGCATGCTAAGCAAACACTCAGTCAACTTCTCAGTGAAGCAATATATAAGGCCGGCGATCTGCTGGTCTCTGAAGCAGACGGAAACCACCATAAGGAGTGTAATCTTTCTCTTCCCACAACAGAAAGATTAGCTGAAGAAATGGCTAATTTATAACTAAAAGCATCAATCTCTAACTTTCTACATCTAACCCCGTAAGTTTTCAGCTTATTCCTTTCTGTGAGTTCATTCATTCCTTTCATTCATTCCATTCATTTCATCACGAAGAATGAGAGAAGAGCAGTGATGGGCCGAGATTTCGGCCTCTGAGGAGTGCTTTTGACCCCCCAAGCCCTCCTCTTACATACAGCAGAACAAACACCTGGCCTGGGAGAGACACGTCACCTTCCAGGAACACTGCTGGTTTTTTCCTTTAAGGTCTAGCCCTACGGTGCTCCTAACCAGAATCTGTTCTGCAATCTCCCTGCGTAATCCCCCAGCCCACAAATAGTCACAATTTATATGAATTTATAAACTTAAAAACCGGAAGCGGCTTCCGCACGGAGGCAATTCCTGAGGACACCTGATTACCTGCTACCCCTTAGCCACGCGGTCAACCACAGGAGTAAAACTGACCCGGATAAGGGACTGATATTCCTCCTTTAGTCGCTGCACCCACAATTCCCGATCCCGGGGTCCGGCGTTAGTCTTCAGCACCGGGATCTCGGACACGACCCGCCGGGTGGCCTCGTCCGCCATCTTGGACCAGGGCACAAGAAAAATGCGGAAGTGGAGTTGCTTGCAACTTACTCAGGGCTTCGCCATCTTTACTATGGGAAGATGAGGCGTTGTGTGGCCTTAAAGCCCTCTCTGAATGCACTCTTAATTTTTTGGTAAGAAAATAAAATTGGCCCACTGGTGTGAGCGTCCGGAAGAACAGAATGAAGATGGGTTACTCTGTCCGGAATATGGCACCTATCATTAAATCACCGGAGGCTGCTCAAAGAGTGACTTCCGCTCATGCTCAGAAGCAAACTTGGGAAACCCACGACTTTCCCAAACCAGGAAAGTTGTTAGAATTCCAGGTTTTTCTAAACATTCTTCAAAGAATTGTGTCGTAAAATGCACAATTTACGTGTTTTTGCTTCAAGATGACTTCCTTAGTTTATACAATGCCTGCCCTGAAACATTAACACAACTGAATTCGGAGTTCTTGCTCGTTCTTAAAGGGGACAGGTCTCATGTATCCCAGGCTGGCCACAGACTCAAACAGGATAGCTTGAGCTATGCTTGCTTATGCCAAAAATTAATGTGTCTAGGTTTTAAAACCAACTGAACGATAAAACATTTTGCAAAGAGTTATATATTTTTTTGTGTGTTATGCACAAGCTATACAGACATAATTTGATCCTGGATTAAATCTCTCAAATGGCTAGAGGATAGAAGACGAGTCTTCTGCTAACGTTTTGTTGTTGTTGTTTTGTTTTGAGACAGGGTTTCACTGTTGAGCTCCAGCTGCCTGGAACTCGCTTTGTAGAGCAGGTTAGCCTCGAACTCACAGAGACTTGCCTGTCTCTCCCTCCGGGGTTCTGGGATTAAAGGCGTGCATCACCACTGCCCAGCAGTTTGGGGGTTTGTTTTGTTTTTGTTTTTTTTTTTTTGAGACAAGTTCTCATTATGTAGATCAGGCTGGCCTCCAAGCCACAGAGCTGCCTGTCTTCCAGAAATTACCCATATAATTTCTAACCTCATTTGACACTAAGAAATCTCAATAGGGCATAGTGGTCCATACCTGTTATGCCAGTACGGGGTGGGGGTGTGGAGGTATAGGAGGGATGCATGACAGGAAGATTGCTGCAACTCAATCCAAAACAAACAAATAAAAACAAAAACCCATATGTGGTAGGTGCACATCTTTGATCCCAGCATTTGGGAGGCAGAGGCCATACTGATCTTGGTAAGTTTGAGTCTATATAAGCAGTTAGATCCTGTCTCAAAGAAAACAAGTAGAACAAACGAGAAAATGGCTCAAGTGGGTAAGGTGCTTGTAGCACCAGTCTGGCCACCTTGGTTCCATCCCTGAAACCCACATAAAGATGGAAGGAGAGAATAGACTCCACAAGTTGTCCTCTGACCTACATACATGCGCTGTGTGTGGCATGTATGCCCCTTCAACGAAAATTTAATTTTTTTTCTTGAGACAGTGTTTTTTTTGTGTAACAGACCTGGCCATCCTGGTATACCAGTCTGGCCTTGAACTAACAGAGATCTGCCTGCCTCTGCCTGCCAAGTGCTGGGATTAAAGGCATGCACCACTATGCCTGGCCTATTTGTAATTTATGGTAGTGTTTTGCTTGCATGTATGTAAGGTACTATGTACATGCAATGCCAGTGGAGGCCAGAAAAGGGCAACAGATGCCCTGGAAATGACATTACAGTAACAGACATTACTTCCATGTGGGTGCTGAGAACTACACACCTGTCCTCTGCAAGCACAGCAAGTGCTCTTAACTGCTGAGCCATCTCTTCAATCCTCTAAGTTAAATAAACAAACACACAGATGTATTTTTTGTTTTGTTTTTTGAGACAGGGTTTCTCTGTGGCTTTGGAGACTATCCTGGAACTAGCTATTGTAGACCAGGCTGGTCTTGAACTCACAGAGATCTGCCTGCCTCTGCCTCCCAAGTGTTGGGATTAAAGGTGTGTGCCACCAACGCCCGGCCACAGATGTATTTTTAAGGGCTGAGGATGTAGTGCTTGCTTAGCCTGCACAAACCTGGGTTTGACCCCCATTACCATATAAACAAATCAGACCTGATGGTGTCATCCCAGCCTAGGCTACAAAAAAATGATGTTGGACTTTTCTTTCTGAGATGCTTTCCCTGTGTGACTTGGAAGAGTATTTGTTTTTATTGAGACAAGGTCTATGTTGCCCTGGCTATCCTAGAATTCTCTGTAGATCAGGCTGGCCTTGAACTCACAAGATCCACCTGCCCCTACCTTCCGAGTGCTGGGATTAAAGGCGTTCACTAGTTTGCCTGGCCGGTAGAGTGTTCTTGTTCTCTCACCCCTGTGTTGTTTGATAGCATGTTCTCGGTCTCACCCTCTTGCTATGGAATAATCCTACTGTGAATATGTATTACTCTTATTGGTTAATAAAGAACTGACTGGCCTATAGCTGGGCAGGAAGAGACTGGGCGGGAGAGCCAGACTAGAAGGATGCTGGGAAGGGTGGTGTCTGGACTAGAAAGCAGACACAGAAAGAAGCAAGATGGGCGTGCCATAATGAGAAAAGGAACCAAGCCACATGACAGAGCATAGGTAAGAAGTATGGATTAATTTAAAATGTAAGAGTTAGCTAGTAACAAACCTGAGCTATTCGCTGAACATTTATAATTAATATTTAGTCTCTGGGTCGGTTATTTGGGAACTGGTGGGTGGGAAAGAAACGTCTACCTACACCCTCATTCTCACTGTTGCTCTGTTTCTTGAGACTGCTCTTATGTAGCTTGAATTCCTGACTCCCTTGTCTCCACCTCCCAAGTACTGAAGTTACAGGCACAGGACCAAGCCTGGAGGGTTTTTACCTTACTAGCACACTATTAATCTCTTTACAAAGATATTAGATATAACTAAGACACAGCTTTGCAATGCTTCACTAGAGATCTCCTAAAGTAATTAAAGATTTATTTCATTTTGGTGTAGGCACGGGATTGGGGTAGGAGAACAGAGATTTGAAATGAGGTTTTAAAATTGTCCTTAGTTGTTTTAGTTCTGTGATATGCATCTCTAAAGAAATAACAATGTTTCCTAACATCCCTGGCTAGATACGTATACAGTGTTCTGCCTGCATGTATGCTTGTACACCAGAAGAGGGCACCAAATCTCACTACAGATGATTGTGAGCCACTATGTGGTTGCTGGGGATTGAACTCAGGACCTCTGGAAGAATAAATAGTCCGTGCTCTTAAGCCCTAAGCCATCTCTACAGCCCCTACCTTTTTTAAAAACTCTTTTAGGAAATGTATTTCTTTAAGTATTTTTTATGTGTATGAGTGTATTACATGTATGTATGTGCACCACATCCAATCCTGATGCCCACAGAGGTCAAAAAAAGGACATCAGATTCCATGGAACTCGAGTTATAGTTATGAGCTCTCATGTGGCTGCTGGGAACCAAACTCCCATCCCCTGCAAGAGCAGCAACTGCTGAGCCATTGTTGTGGAATAATCTTTTTGTACACTGTTTTGTTTTAGAGTTAGGGTTTCTCTGTGGCTTTGGAGGCTGTCCTGGAAGTAGCTCGTGTAAACCAGGCTGGTCTCGAACTCACAGAGATCCACCTGTCTCTGCCTCCCGAGTGCTGGGATTAAAGACATGTGCCACCACTGGCTGACGTGTTTGTACACCGTGAAGATGTATCTTTGCCAAGGCACCTTCTGATTGCTTCAATAAAGAGCTGAGTGGCCAACAGTTATGCAGGAAGAGGTTAGGCAGGACTTCTAGAGAGAGAGAGAGAGAGGTGGGGGGGTATCTAGGCGTAGGAAAGATACCAGATGACATGGAGAGGAAACAGGAGGTGCAAGATGGAAGAGAGTTAAAAAACCACAAGGCAAAATGTAGATTAATATAAATGGGTTCATTTAAGCTACAAGAACTAATGGGACACAGATGAGATAAAAAGGTTAAAACAAAAAACTAATGGGACAAGCCTAAAGCTATAAGCCAAGCTTTCACAATTAATAAGTCTCTGTGTTGTTATTTGGGAGCTGCCAATACAGAGAAAGACTTGCCACAAGCCATCTCTTCAGACCCTCTACCTCTCTTTTTTTGAGGATGAATCTAAACTTTTTAATAATGTATGATATTCTCAGCACCCCACAGTGGCTCACCATCTCTCACTTTCCATAATTTCAATTGCAGAGGATCTGACATGACTTCCTTTCCTGGCCTTCATGAACACCAGGCAGGCATGTGGTGCACATACATACCATGCAGTCACAACACTCATATACAGAAAAAAAAACTTTAATAATAAACATTCATTGAACATACTACCATATTGGGACATATCCACTGATATTTAAAAATCACAGGGTCAGGGCTGCTGCCATGGCTCGGGGGACAAAAGTTCTTGCCACACAAGCCTGAGTTTGACCATCAGAACCCACATAAAAGTGAGGGACTGTGCAGGCAGGCTTTTTCCCCCCAGCCTGCCAGTTCCCAAATAACTAACATGGAGACTTAATATTAATTATAAATGCTCAGTCACTAGCTCAGGCTTGTTACTAGCTAACTCTTACACTTTAACCCATATTTCTTATCTACTTTCCCTCAACACAGCACATTCATCTTGCTTCTCTCTGCATCTCTCGTGACTCCTCAGACTCCACCTTTCTTCTTCCCAGCATTCTCTTTGCCCCAGAAATCCTGCCTAGCTACTGGCCAATAAGCTTATTGTTAACTATGAGAACAACACGTGTTCACAGAGTACAGAAAGATTATTCCACGACAGGGCTGACTCCACAGTTTCACAACTGTGTCATTCACATGCATCACACAAAAAATGATAAAATCATTGATCCATATGAGATTAAACTTTCAATGAGCATGCCCCACATGTGAAAAAAAAAATTCCTAAAGCCACACTCAGAGAAGTCAGGCAGGATTCTGTTCACAGCAAAGGCCTGTCCCTGGAGACAACTAATAAGCCTGGGGAAATGGCTCATCTATGTAAGAGATTCTAACCTGGAGCTAGAATTCAGATCAGTCTAGATCTAGACAAATAATCTAGATCATTAATCAGTACAAAAAGTACAAAGAGCCATTTTAGCAGGACAAAGTTATTCATTGCTTCGGAGTGCAAATCAGGGTAAAACAGGAAGTGGACTATCAAATTTAGTTTTTTCAGATAATCTCTTGTGTATGAATTTAGATGATTCTTTTTGGGTTTTTGCTTTTTTGAGACAGGGTTTCACTCACTCTGTAGAGCAGGCTGGCCAGGAATTCAGAGAGATCTATGTCTGCCTCTGCTGCCCAAGTGCTGAGATTAAAGGCTTGCAGCACCACGCAGCTAGTTTATCCTTGTTTTAAGGAATTCCTATTAGACGGTAACTCCTAAACTATTAAAGGAAGGCCTCAGGTTTATCTATTTTCAGAGCAGGAATTCACTTATAAGCAGATATTTATGCTCTACTCTGCTCTAGGTGTTGGAAATACAGTAGTGCACAAGGGACTGGGAGTCCCTATCCTCATGGAAATGACCCTAACACAACTAAGCAAAGTGGCAGAGCAGGTCCGGTTGGATACCTCAGTCCTAAAAAATGCACTGATGGAAGACTACTGTTTGGCTGAATAGTACAGCTGGTGAATGGGAAGCTCCTGAGCTTCTTTATGGTAAGCCCATTAGCAGACATCACAGGGAAGGCATAGGAGAAATGACTGTTGTATCAGGGAAAGAAACATTGGATTGGGGCAAAATAGAATTAAAAAGAGAGAGAGAGAGAGAGAGAGAGAGAGAGAGAGAGAGAGAGACATGTCTTTATGAACTTCAAGGAATTGATCTAGACCCTATTGCATTGGAAGATTCTTTTTTTTTTTTTTTTTTTTTTTTTTTTTTTTTTTTCTTTTTGGGTTTTTCGGGCAGGGTTTTCTCTGTCTGTTTTTGGGCCCTTTCCTGGCCCCCCCTCTTGTAGCCCAGGCTGGCCTCGAACTCACAGAGATCTGCCTGCCTCTGCCTCCCAAGTGCTGGGATTAAAGGTGTGCACCACCACCGCCCATCGTGCACTGGAAGATTCTTGAAGATGGTCAGAGAAATGCTCCTTATAGTGTAGAGATTTAGAATAATATACACAATAGCCAGTTTGGTGGGGGATGTCTTTCTGTATATGTTTCTCTTATTGGTTGATGAATAAAACACTGTTTGACCAATAGAGGCAGGAAAATAGGTGGGGCTAGGAGATGAGAATTCTGGGAAAGGTAGGCAGAGAGGGTGTAAAAAGGAACACTATGTAGCCGGCAAAGGAGTAATAGGTCTGGGCATTCTCCAGTAAGCCAAGATTGCATGGAAATACATAGATTTATTTATTTATAAATGGGCTAATATCGAAGACAGAGCTAGCCAATAAGAAACCCTACTCATTGGCCAACAGTTTTATAATTAATATAAGTTTTGAATGCTGAACTTTATCTTAGCTCTTATTTTAATCCATTTCTCTTCATCTACGTTTTGCCTTGGGGCTTTATACATTTCTTTCTGTATATCTTACTCTGTGTTTGCTGGTGGCTGCCTGGCTGGCCCCAGGCATCTCCTCTTTCTTCCTCATTCTCTTCTTTTTCTCCTTCTCTGAGTCTAGATTCCTCCTCCTATTTATTCTTTCTGCCTGGTAGCCCTGCCTTTCCCTCTCCTGCCTAGCTGTTGGCTGTTCAGCTTTTTGTTAGATGAATCAGGTGCCTTAGCAGGCAAGGGGAAACATATTGCGGGAAATTACCAATACGGAGCCAGGTAGAGATACAAGGGATTTTAATAGGGAAAAAGCCTTACTTAGAGAGTGACAGAGCCAGCCGGTGGGCAGCAGTCTGTACAGCAAGCTGAAAGTGAAACCGAAACCAGAAACCAGCCACCTGACCAACTCTCATTCTACGTCACCCTGACAACACCCTTGCAAGCGTGGTCAGGCACTAGGCAGACATGGCTACAGCTTCCCCTACTGTGGGGGACCGAATCAGTCCCCCATACCCTACAGAAACAAATCAACACATCTTCACAAAATTAAACAAATGAAGCAGAAACAAATATAACACACCTTCACGCAGTTAAATATTCTGAAGCAGAAACAAATGTAACACATCTTTGCCTAGTTAAAATAATAGTCCACAACAGCTTGCCTCTATAATTCATAACCTTAGTCAATTGGTAAACTTTCCTACCACCTCCAGATCTAATCAGCAGCAAGGATCAAAGGTTTGGGGAATGGTGACATTCTAGACAGTTTATCCTAATTAGAAACTTTTGATTCTTTGGCCTCAGCCTCTAGAGTTCAGGAATTGAAGCCATTCATTACCACAGCTGCAAGCCTGGCACAATTTAGCCTTCACTGTGACTTCACTTTTACCCAGGAGCTAGTGAGATCTGGTACTGTGGAATATTGTTTTGACTATATAAAGATGTTACATTTGTTTTTGCTGGATAGTTGGGGCAGGCAGGCAGACAGAATAGGAGAAGAAACCTAGGCACAAGAGGAGCGAGAGAGAGAGAGAGAGAGAGAGAGAGAGAGAGAGAGAGAGAATGAAGGGGATGCCCAGGGCCAGCCAGGCAGTCACCAGCCAGCTAGACATAGAGGAAGCAGGAAAAGTAGGACATACAGAATAAAGGGATAAAGCCCCAAGGTAAAACAGAGATGAAGAGAAAGAGGTTAAATTAAATTATAAGAGCAAGTGGGACAAGCATAAGAAAAAGCTGAGCATTCATAACTAATAATAATAAGTCTCCATGGTATGGTTTGGGAGGTGGCTGGTGCCCCCCCCAAAAAAAAAGCCTGCTATAATCTGGTAAAGGGTTTGGGGTGCCAGAGGATTTGGTTTACAAAGATATAATCTTTGAGGAGGAAAAGGTTGGTATGAAGATAATTATCATAAAATAAGAAATTCAGAGGTTGGAGAGATGGCTCAGTGGTTAAGAACCCTAGCTGGTCTTCCAGTGGACCTGAGTTCAATTCCCAGCAACCATAAGATGGCTCACAACCATCTGTAGTGAGATCTGGTGCCCTCTTCTGGCCTGCAGACAGAACGCTGTATACACAATAAATAAATAAATCTTAAAAAAAAAAAAAAAAAAAGAAAGAAATTCAGCTGAGTAGCAGTGGTGCATGCCTTTGATTCCAGCACTCTGGGAGGCAGAGGCAGGTGGGTTTCTGTGAGTTCTAAACCAGCATGGTCTACAGAGTAAGTTCCAGGCCAACCAGGACTACACAGAGAAACCTTGTCTTGAAAAACAAACAAAAACAAAAACAAACAAAAAAGGAAATTCAAGAGACCTGTGCATGGTGGTACATGGAGGCTAATAACTCAGGAGGCTGAAGTAGGAGCATCATTCTTGGTTACATGAGGAGTTCCAGGTCAGCTAATAGTATATAACAATATACCCTGCATCCATAAATAAATAAATAACCAAGGGCAGGGAAGATGGCTCAGAGGACAAAGAGGTTACCACACAAGTACTGAGTTTGAGTCTTCAGAACCCACACAAAGCCAGATGTAGTAGTGTGAATCCTCATCCCTATGTTGCAAAGGGGATGGAGGCTCAGACAGGAGAATCCTCAGATGCTCACAGCCCACCTATCCTGATAGCAGTGATTAATGACCAAAAAAAAAAAAAAAAAAAAAAAAAAAAAAAAAAAAAAAAAAATGGTGGTGCACACCTTTGATCCCAGCATTCAGGAGGCAGAGGCAAGAGAATCTTTGTGAGTTCCAGGCCAACCTGGTCTAGAGAGTGAGTTCCAGGATAGCCAGGGAGGTTACACAGAGAAACCCTGTCTCAAAACAAACAACAAAAAAGAAACCTTGTCTCAAATAAGGTAGAAGGCAAGGACTGACAGAAGACTTCCAACATTCACCATGGCATGTGCATGCCTGCTTTTACATCTCTCACACACATACACGTATCTGCTGTGGAATAATCCTTCTGTACATTGTGAAATTAAAGCTGTATGTGGCTAACATAGCAAAGAATTTGTGGAAAACACAGAATTACATTCCTCCAATCTCAGAAAGAAACCATAGAATAAAGAATTCTTCTGAAAAAATTATTAAAGGTATTATCAAGAACAGTCACAGACCATTCAGTTGTAAATAAGCAGTGCATAACAGCTGTTGGGGCTTTCAAAAGCACCAACTGACCTACCTTTAAATAGTTAACTGGCAAACTTGTGTGGGAGGAACAATTGTGCCTGTCCTAGAATTCACTCTGTAGACCAGGCTGGCCTGGAACTCACAGAGATCCGCCTGCCCCTGCCTCCCGAGTGCTGGGATTAAAGGTGTGTGCCACCAATGCCTGGCCGAACAATTGCCTTTGACATCAGAAAAATTATAGGGAGTAGGGCAGCTGGTAAAGGAGCAGCTAACCACTCAACATATTGAAGAATCGATCAGTCCTTGGAATTCTATATTTGTTATTAACAAAAACTCTGGAAAAATGGAGACTGGTAACAGATCTGAGAACTATAAATAAGGTGATTCAGCCAATGGGCTTTTTAGAGCTTAGAATTCCCTTGCCTTCATTAGGTAAGGGATGTTATATTATAATGTGTTGCAGAATATTTGTTTATACTGTAAAGACATGTCTGCTGAAGGTAGCTTCTGATTAGTTTAATAAAGAGCTAAATAGCCAATATCGAGGCAGGAGAGGATAGACAGGACTTCTGGGCAGAAAGAGAAACTGGGAGAAGGAATCTAGGTGTGTGATTTCACCTGCAGACTCAGAGCAAGTTAGATGTGCCATACCCAGAAGACGTAACCGAGCCACATGGCAGAATGTAGATTAAAATTTATGGGTTAAGTTATAAAAGATAGTTGGGAAAAAGCCTATGCTAAGGCCAAGTTTCATAATTAATATGACTCCAGGTCATTATTTACAGCCTGGCAGTCCAAAGGTAGTTCGACAAGAAAGCTTGTTGTAATAGTGATTGATTTAAAAGATTGCTTTTGTTGTTTATTTAAAAGATTTATTTATTGGTCTGGAGAGATGGCTCAGAGGTTAAAAGCACCAACTGCTCTTCCAGAGGTCCTGAGTTCAATTCCCAGCAACCACATGGTTCACAACCATCCATTATGAGATCTGATGCCCTCTTCTGGTGTGCAGATATACATAGAAGCAGAATGTTGTATACATAATAAAATAAATAAAACCTTAAAAAAATTTATTATGTATACAGCATTCTCTCTGCATGTACCCTTGCAGGCCAGAAGAGGGCACCAAATCTCATTACAGATGGTTGTGAGCCATTATGTGGTTGCTGGGAATTGAACTCAGGACCTCTGGAAGAGCAGTTTCTCCTTCTGCCCAGATTCTGAACTGCTGAGCCATCTCTCCAGGCCCAAAAAGACTGCTTTATAACTATACCTTTATAGGAACAGAATACGGAAAAATTTGCCTTCACAGTGCCTACTTATTAAAATTCCCAGCCTGTTAAAAGGTGTCACTGGAAAATTCTTCCACAAGGAATGTTAAACAGCTTCATCTTGTGTAAATATTTTGTACTACAGCCATTAGAAATAATTTGTAACCCTGGCAGTGGTGGAGCAAGCCTTTAATCCCAGCACTTGGCAGGCAGAGACGGGCAAATCTCTGTGAGTTGAAAGCCAGCCTTGTCTACAGAGGAAGTTCCAGGACAGGCTCCACACAGAGAAACTGTCTCAAAAAAAAAAAAAAAAAAAAAAAAAAAAAAAAAAGAAAGAAAGAAAAGAAAAAAGAAATTCATAAACATTTTCCTAATATAAAATCTAACAGTATATGGATAATATCTTCTTGGTTGATTCAGATGCAGATACTATAGAAAGAATGTTTGATGAAATAAAGAGAATTTTGCTTTACTGGGGATTACACATTGCTCCTGAAAAAAAAAAAATACAAAGAGGAGATTCTACTATTTAGGATATATGATAGGTTTATAGAAAATTTAACCACAGAAAGTACAAATCAGGAGAGATTAATTACAAACTCTTAAGAGTTTCAATTGCTGGGAGATAACTGGCTACAGCCCACAACTGGAATAATTACTGTACGAGGACTTCTTTGGGCCACTAGCTCACAAATAATGACATGGAGGATTATTATTAATTATGAAACTTGGTCTTAGCTTAGGCTTTCTCCAGCTAGCTCTTATAACTTAAATTAACCTGCTTTTATTAACCTACGTTCTACAGTGTGGCATGGTTACCTCTCCTCTGTATCATATGTCCAACTTCCTCAGTGTCATCCTTCCTCAGTTTCTTTCTTTTTTTTGTTTTTTTGAGACAGGGTTTCTCTGTGTAGCTTTGGAGCCTATCCTGGCACTCACTCTGGAGACCAGGCTGGCCTCGAACTCAGAGAGATCTGCCTGCCTCTGCCTCCCGAGTGCTGGGATTAAAGGTGTGCGCCACCAACACCTGGCCTTCCTCAGTTTCTTGTGTGCGTAGACTCAACCCAAGTTATTCTCGTCTTGTCAAGGAAGTCCTGTCTATTCTGATCTGCATAGCTATTGGCCATTTAGCTCTTTATTAAACCAATCAGAAGATGCCTTTCACCCAGTGTGATCAAATATCCCACAACAAACTACTCAAGACATAAGTAATTTATTTCAAACCTTACAAGGTGATATGGTGAAGTGTTTACCTATGTTGTTCTATTATCAATAAAAACCTGGGAGTCAAATATCAAGGTGAAAACCTGATAGATCAAAGAATTGGTGGGGGAGTGGCTAGCTGACTTTGTTTCCACACTTCCCAGATCAAAGAGACTGCACAAAATCCAAGTCCCTCCCTCTTCCTTCCTACACATCTTCTCTATCCATAATCCAATAAGGGCTGAAGTAGTCCAAGAAAATTATTAGGTGAAGCTGAGAGAGAACTGGCTCTGGTAGGAAAAACATTACAGGATACACATGTCCATCATATGAATCCAGAGCTTAATTATATTCTGTTATTTTAACTTCTACACATTCATTTGTCATTTGTCATACAATGTTGCAAAGGTAACCACTGTGCAAGAAACTGCCTTTGCCTCAAATGCTGACAGTATACTATCCAAATTGGACAAGCAGGACACAAAATAAAGTGAATGCCAAACTTTGCCAAGACAAAGTAGGGCAGTCCTTTAAAATTCCTGCTTTACAGAAAAGTTTGTCAGATATTCTAGGCTTATAGGCCCAAGATGGATGCCCCAACATTGCAGTGGAACCTTGGGTGATTATCCAGGCAGCCAGCTGTCTATATCATTTATATAGTTTTGGAAGTTTTTTTTTTGTTTTTTGTTGTTTTTTTTATATAGCTTTGCTTTGCACTTCCTGTTTATCCAGGTAATATTTTATCCTTCTTGGATCTTTGGTGGGGTGAAGATTTTTTTGATTGTTTGTTTGTTTGTTTTTCGAGATAGGGTTTCTCTGTATTGCTTTGGAGCCTGTCCTGGAACTTGCTCTGTAGACCAGGCTGGCTTCAAACTCACACAGGTCCACCTGCCCCTGTCTCTTGAGTGCTAAGATTAAAGGCATGCACCACCAACACCCAACTGATATATAGAGTTTTACAGTTTTCCTTGTTACCAAATTCAGAAAAGAAACTTGCAAAAGATATGTAAAATTTATAAGGTTGATAAACATAAAAGCTTAATTTATCTAAGAAAATATTTTAAGTTCTAGGTTGCTAATACCAATTATAATAAAAAGGTAGTTTATGTATAAAACTTTGAATCTGATGGGCGTTGGTGGCACATGCCTTTAATCCCAGCACTTGGGAGGCAGAGGCAGTCTGATGTCTGTGAGTTTGAGGCCAGTCTGGTCTCCAGAGCAAGTGCCAGGATAGGCTCCAAAGCTACACAGAGAAACCCTGTCTTGAAAAACCAAAAAAAAAAAAAACAAAACAAAAACAAAAAACTTTGGATCCACCAAGATGGGACAGACAGTACAGTATCTTTTCCAAAGGTACCAAATACAAATGGAATGACATTATGAATGTAATTCTTACCTGACAATTGCTTTTTTTGTTTTGTTTTGTTTTTCAGGATAGGGTCCCTCTGTAGCTTTGGTGCCTGTCCTGGAACTCACTCGGTAGACCAAGCTGGTATCAGATTTAGAGATCCATCTGCCTCTGCCTCTCATTCTGGGATTAATGGCTTGTGCCACCACTACCTGGCCTGGCAATTGTTTTTGTTGTACCTAGTTTTACTCTTTTTATCTAGACAAAAGGGGAAATGCTGTGGGATATTTGATCCCACTGAGTTTGCTTTTGCATTAATTAAATAACACCAACCTTGGGTCAGGAGGCAGAGTCAGCAACTAGTTAAGTAGTAGGGAGGGACATAAGAGTTTGGCAGAGCGGAAGGATGTTCTCTTTCTGAGATGCTGGCAAAGAGTCAGCTAGTTGCTCCTCAACCTCTCTGAGCTAGCAGGTTTTACCTCAGCCTCTGACTTCCAATCTATTGATAAATACAACTCTAGAGATTTAGTTAACAACTACATTTGGTGGCAGCAGCAGGAGGCAGATCCTGCAGGAAGTAAAAGTCCCTCCAGGGCTACTGACTGAGAAAATAGGCCAATAAATGCAGAGTTGCAATTACTGCCTGAAACAGTAGTAGATTCAGGTGTAGCTGCTGTGCCAACGGAAAAGCAACATAATGCAGTCTTGGGGTTCACCGTGTGACCCAACATCCTGCAACATCTGGTTAATCTGTTACTTGTTACATAGGTCTAGCTTTGCCTCAAATCATATCCTTCAGCTTTTTGAGTGGTGGGATTACCTTGCCTGGCCACACAATGTTTCTGTACATAATTATCTTCCTATCTCAGTCTGGTTCTCACCCCACATATCTATGAAAACAGCCTTGTCCAAATTTACCTAGTGACCTTTCTTCTTCCACAATTTAAATGACATAGTTTAGTCACCATCTTACTTGATCTCTTTTTTTTTTTTGGTTTTTGGAGACAGGGTTTCTCTGTGTAGCTTTGGCGCCTATCCTGGCACTCGCTATGTAGACCAGGCTGGCCTTGAACTTACAGAGATCTGCCTGCCTCTGCCTCCCGAGTGCTGGGATTAAGGGCACGCACCGCCTGGCCTTACTTGACCTCTTACGCTTAGTACTTTAAGCAAGCTCACTTGGTACTTTCCTCCCCCCCTGTCTTCCTTTCTTCCTCTTTGCTCCTTATTGTCCTCTTTTAAGCTTCCTTCCCTCATCTCATCCCTCAAACGCATGATTCTTCCTTTCTAGGCCATTATCCTCTTTTATGGCTCCAAGAAATATCCATATGCACAGAAGCACACTTTAAACTTTCTTGGTTTCCAACCCACATTATTTAATATTTACCTGTCTAAAAGGATCTCCCTTGCCTCCACATTTATCTCCCATAGAATTAAAAATAATGTAACCAGGGGCTGGAGAGATGGCTCGGGGGTTAAGAGTACTTGACTGCTCTTCCAGAGGTCCTGAGTTCAATTCCCAGCAACCACATGGTGGCTCACAACCATCCATTATGAAATCTGGTGCCCTCTTCTAGTGGAAGCAGAATGTTGTATACATAATAAATAAATTTTTAAAAAATAATGTAACCAGCCGGGTGGTGGTGATCCACGTCTTTAATCCCAGCACTCGGGAGGCAGAGGCAGGTGGATCTCTGTGACAGGGTTTCTCTGTAGCTTTGGAGCCTATCCTGGCACTCGCTCTTGTAGACCAGGCTGGCCTCGAACTCACAGAGATCACCCTGTCTCTGCCTCCTGAGTGCTGGGATTAAAGGCGTGCGCCACCAACGCCCGGCCATCTTCATAATTATTGTCTCTTCTACTTTTCCAAACTATCCTTAACAGGCAACCGGTGCTCTCTCTACCCAGCCCCACTCCGTGAGGACTGAACATCAGGTTTACCTGTGCTAAGACAGTATTCTACCACTGAGCTAACATCCTTGTGGCCTTCCTCGCTTAAATTAAGCCCCAACTGGTCGACATCTCCAGAGCTCAATCTTCCTCCCTCAGGCTCCAGGCCGGCACTGGCATGCCCAGGCCGGCAAGCAGTCATCTTTCTACAATACAAATATAATTGCTCACACCTCTGCTTTGACCCTTCAAAGCCTCTTCATTGCCCTTGGGATAAAATAAATTTACAATGTCTTGCGCCATCAGGTCCCTCCCTATCTCACAGACCTTATGTATTACCTTTTTCTTTAGCCACGTTAGGCGGTCGGCAGCTCCAGACACGCGTGAGCCCCCACCCCACCCCACCCCAGCTCACTGCCCACACACAATTCAATTCCCAACAGCCCCTCTACGTGAGGCACGGTCGACAGGACGGGAGAGCTCAAAAGGAAAACACCGAAGGGATGAACTCCGAGGGAGGCTCTGAGAAGCGCTGCAAGGTCCGGGTTTCAGAACGTCCGGGTGACAGGAAGTTCAAAGCAAAGGTTAAATCCAGATCTTGAACTTTCACCCGGGTTCACCAGGCAGTCCAACTCCTGTACTATTCCGCCCTTACGTGTCATGGCTGCCAGCCCCACTCTCCCAATAGGCCTTGAAGTCCGATACCAGCCAGCTCTGGCGCCACCGAGTCTTCCACTCTCAAGCACGTTAGTTGCTCCCTCCACTTGTGAGAACCGCCCGGAAACCGCCGTTCAGAAAACCCTGCGTTGCCAGCTTGCCCCAAAGCAAGATGGCTGCCACTGCCCATTCTCTCTTCCCAACGTGAAGCCATCCCTACCCGGCCTAATGCCGCTGCCAGGCTGCCCTCACCTAGTATGGCTACTCCGCTCATGCCTCGTTATGGTCTCGAAGCCGACACTAACCGGCCAGGTTCCGGGAGGCGCTGTTCAGGATGC